AGGGAGCAGGAATGCATAGGAAAGAGATAACTACAGGGAGGAAGTGGGAAGAGAACTGTTACATTGTGGGGAATTACAGTTAATGTCATGAAACAAAATATGTATGAACTGCTGTATGGAAAATGAACTTGCTCTGTAAAGGTTTACCTAAATCACAATAAAAGCTAGGGGAAAAAAAAAAAAAAAAAAAGATTCCCTGTCCAGAAGAGGAGAGGGCCAGGGTTCAAGGAAGTAGTCCCCCAGTGTGCCCCTGGGGAAGTAGCTGGGGCTAGCTGCAAGGAAGTTCTACCTGCCATCTTCCTGGACCCACGCACAATCCTGTCTACCAGGATCTGTGTTGTGACCACAGCCTGTCAGGTAGGTGACCTTCTGTGGAGAGACAGAAAGGTGCTAAAGTATGCCTTCAGCCTGCCCCTCCTTGCTGAGCTCTGGGGGTTCACCCACCTTGGCCACCTTCAGCAGGTCAGGAGTGATTTAGACTCTAGGTATGCAGTGCCGCTCTGGGGCATGGCCAGGTGGAAGAGACACCGAGCCAGGGGTGATAACATCTGCAGGGGTTGGGGGTGGGGCACCGATGAGATACACAAGTAGCGGCTACTTGGGCCATTTGGGTGCCTCTCTGGCCATGATTGGGAGGTCTGAGAGAGCCCAGAGAGGGCAGGCAGCTGGGAGGGCATGAGGAGCTGGATTGGAGTCCTAGACTCTGGACCTCCGCGTTCTGGTTGTGCGATGGACTCCAAGGGTCTCAGAGGATCTCGGGTTGTGAGAGGGCATCTGCTAATGCAGGGAAGGGGGCTCCCTCTGCTGCTGGGCTGACGTAGACTGAAGGTGGGAGGGACCCCATGGCTCCTATGGCTCAGTGGCCTGTGCTGACAGCTCTTAGCCTCCTCTGCTACTCAGTCTGGGACACACATGTACACCAGCCCCCTCTCCTGTCCCTTGAGCACCCCAGACTTCACGTGCCCCAAACCTGCTCTAGTCCATCCCCATCTGGGTAGTGACTTTAGCCCACATACTTCACCCAGCCCTAGGAGACTTTCCTATCTCTGCACTCTTTCTCTCTCTCATCCCCACACCCCAGTTGCCCTAGTCCATTTGGCCCCCTGAAACCATCGCATGTGTTCAGATGAGGATCTCACCACAACAGAGCTGCTTGGCTCCAGGATCTTGGCTCAGTGAGATAATCCTTCCACCCTCACTGGCCCCCTCTACTCCTCTGTGGGCTGGGGGGTCAGATCCCAACCTTGCTGTGCCCAGAACCACCGTCTCCTTCTTCAACCCCAGGCCCAGCTGCTGGGCCAGCTCTGAGTACCAGGCTTCTTTTTTCAGAATCTCACCCTTGTCCTGCAATCTGGCTTCTGAGGACAGCTGTCCCCTTGTCAGTCATGTCTACATATGTCTAAAGCCCAATAGGGGACCAGATAGGACTTTGATCCCTCCAAAAACACCAGAGAATGCCAAAACATACCTATTGCCATACATCAGAATCTCGGATCTGGGCTAGTCAAGACTCTTTCCAAACATTACCATCATCATCCTCAGTATATAAATAAAGAAACTGAGACCCAGAACAGAGAAATGATGGGGGAGGGCCTTGGACCATGGCTTCCCTGAGACCCTGAGTGAGGTCAGGGAGCCCGGCGGGCACTCAGCCTGCCCTTCGGAAAACCACAGGGCCCCATTTCTGGGGAGCTGCAGGTTCAGGAAGTATTTTAGGATGGAGGAGGCCCACACTAAACTTTGAATGACACCCCCTAGACATCTCCCAATTCTTTGAGTTGTAGTTGGGGAGCCATATGATTTTTTTTCCCCCAGCTGAAGCAACTGGAGTCTATATTCATACCTATACCAGGGGGCATTTATCGAGCATTTGCTGTGTGCCTGGCACCATTCTAGGAATTTTACAGCTAATTAGCTTTCTTTCTTTTTGAAGTCAAACCATTTTACTGAGGAGTTTCTGGGGATCTGAAGGGCCGGTGACAATGAGGTCTGACCATCGTGGTTGGGCCGGATCTCCTGGAACTTGCAGCTACCAAAAGCACAGCTAATATACCTTTCAATGGTCACAGTTGCCCTATGAAGGGAGGGAGGAGGCTTGCCATAATTATCCCATTTTACGGATGGGGAAACTAAGGAACGAAGATGTTAAAGACTTGTTCAAAGATACATATCCAATAAACTACAGAAGAGGATCGGAACCCTGTGGATTAGTGCATGTGTGTGACTGATGAGCGGGGAATTGGTATGCATGCCCTTGACTCTGTTGAATCAAGAAGAGGGCATCTGCGGGCACCTTGTGGCTGGCCCTGGTGTGTATGGCTGATCCTGCAGCACCCCCTAGTGCTTACACTGCTCACACTGCTCACAGGACCCTTCCTTGTGATTCCACCAGAGTTGTTATGTGCCATCCAGTCGAACCCAACTCACAGTCAAGTGCCTTAGGCACTATGCTACCAGAGCCCCCCTGCCAGAGACAGTTTCCCTGAATCTAAGTCTCCGTTCTGCAGGCCCAGCCAGGCTGAGTCTGTGGGCGCCCTTGGTCTGCTACTTTCAGTTCTGTGTGCCTTCTGAGTCTTCAAGGCAAGTCCGCCAGTCAGTTCAGGACACCTGGCAAGTAGAATCAGTGGCCTGGGGAGGGAAGAGAGACCAGAGAGGCAAGAGGAATGGAATCCCAGGAGCATCTAACTTGTTTGAGTGCTCACTCTAGCTGCTGGGGGCAGTGCTAGGCCAGTCCCTCCTTCCTTTGTGGAGAGAATCCTAGAACCTGGGGGAGAAGGTGGAGGAGGCTGACAGTGTGATGGGCTAGGTGTGAGGCCCACCCTCTCCAGGGCTGGTGGGGACATCAAATGATCCCCCATCATGGCTACCAGACTTTAGGAGCCACATCAATGAGTGTGGTACACCCTCAGGCCTAGAGGAAGGGGCCTGTTTGTCCAGAACCCACCTTTAGCTCACAGTTCCATCCTGCTCTCCTTGAGGCTACCCTGTGGGGGTATTCCTTCCCCTCACCTTTGTGTCCCTCAGTCAGCAGGTTTGTCTGTGTGTGCTAAATCTAAAGCCCATCTATGACTCTACCTGGATTATCTACCTGGAACCCCATGCCAGCTCCCTCCCTGCTCTCCCTGCCCCCACTCTCACTACCCCAACCACTCTCCACCCAGCAAAAATGATCATGCTACTCCCTGGTTAGAACCATTCCATGACTCTCCGTTACTCTGAAGTCTATGCTCCTCTTGTAGCCCACAGGCCCTTCATATCCTATCTTTGCTGACTGCTTCAGCCATACAGAGTTATGTTTATGCAAGACATCTCAACCACTAGGCCTTTGTTTCTGCTGTCCCTTCTGCCAGGAACAACCCTTCCCACTACCTCTCTGGTCTACCGCTCTGGCCTGCCCATTTGGGTAACCTCTCCTTGGCCTTCAGGTCTCAGCTTGGAAGTCCCTCCTTCCCTGTCCCCCCAAGTCTGCTTACTTTTCAGTCTTTCTACCAGCTTTTGGGGGCAGGGACAAGCCCTGGTGGAGGGTCTGTTCATCCTGGGTGAGAATGGAAGACCTCCAATGCCAGATAAAGATCTTGAACTTGTCCTAAACGCTACAGAAACTTGCTCGGAGCTTTGGAGCAGGGGAGCAACACAGTGCAGAGACCTTCTGGCATTATGACTGCCCAAGCTGGCCTTCCCAGAATAAAACTGGTCCCAATTGCAAGTGCTTTTCAGATAACCATCAGCAGCCAAGAACTGGGTCTAACTGAGGAAGGGTATACGTGGGATGGGAGCTGATAGAATGGGATTGTGGAGAAGGAGAAAGAATTGTGATGTGTGTTAAAATCCAGATGTTTCATTGATGTTTGAAAGAAGAAATGTTTGTGCCTACCCTAAAAATCTTTTATAGCTTGCGTATGCAGGCCCTTTCTTTTCTCTGTGACAACAGCCTGCCTAATGTACTTGTCTGGACACCCTCCCCTACCTATTCTCTTGTGTCCTGCTGGGCTTCTGGGAATGTGCTGAGCTTTCCTCAGAAGTAGGCCTCCCCCAACTGGGAGGGAGATGGAGGAGACCAGTCAGGCCATGAAGGGTTAAGGTGCTAGGGCTGGAAAGCTCATAGTCCAGGTCCTAACCTCTATGTCTGGTGAGTGTGGCTCTGCTAGATTCTGCTCCGTCTTGCTCAGAGGCCAGGAGCTTTGGTAGTGCCTAAGGCATTTGACTGCTAACCAGAAGGCTGGCAGTTCAAACCCACCAGCCACTCCTCGGAAGGAAGGTTGGGCGCCAAGTCTGGACGGAATGGAGGAGGAGATTTGTGGGCCTAGACTCCTCCCCCACCCCTTGTCCAAGATTATTGGAGGCTGAGCTCTGTTTTAGGCTAGGTTCCCCTGATGCTTCAGGACTCCTCACACCCTCTTTAGGTCTGAGCCCGACATCTGCGGGGGACTGAGAGCAGGCTTTGACATCTGAAGGGCCTGGGTTCAAGTCCAGAAGTCACCATTCATATATTCTCTTAGTCTTTAACTCACTCACCGTTCTCTGACTCGAGGTCCTGCCCAATCCTGGTGTGGGCGGCACAGAGAGGAGTCACACTGATTGCCACTCTCAGAAGTTCCTCGGAGCCAGAGAGAGACCCAGACATAGACAGTTCTGGCCATGGCTCTGCTGTGCTGTATTAAACACATGTTTGAGATCAGGTAGCCCGGAAAAGGCAGGGAAGGCTTCCTGAAGGAGGGGAGGCTTGGGAGAACCTGAAAATGAGCTGCAACTTGGTATGAAACAAATGGGAAAGGCACTGAAGAGAGAGGGAGGAGCTTGTGCAAAGGCCCAGGGGTGGGAAGCAGCCTGGTGACATTTTAAGAGAGCACAACACCAGCCATGGAGGGGCTGATGCTTAAGGGACATGACCCCACAGCAGCCTGGACTGAAATCTTCCCTAGCAGGGGAGAGGGAAGCTGCCTTTCTGAGGCTCTGCCGCCTCTTGGGGTGGTCCCAGCCAAGCAGGCCCAGGCCCTGTCTCAGAGCTCTTCCTGGGCCTTCTTTCCCTTCTGCTTCTGCTGCCACTGTTGGATCTTGATGGGGAGTGTCTCTGTCCAGAACTTCATCTGGGCTTCCAGGATCTTCTGGCCAACACGTGGCACCAGGCTGATCTGCAGGTATTCCTTCGATTGGTTAAAGGGGGGCCAAAAAGGCAGCCCCTCACCATTGGGGTCCCTGGAAGGGAGAAATGAATGAGCGCCGAGGTCTCCTGTGAGATCCCCCTGGGGGCAGACCCTTAGTGACTCAGGTCTACGGCCAGTTATGTCACTCACTCTTACCCTGTCCGGGCAAAATGTGTCCACTGGGCCATCATGGTGAGACTCAGCCGCTTCTCCTCCTCCGTGGCCTCTGGAAAGGCTGGTGGGAGGGACAGACCAGTGTCAGGGTCAGGTGAGTCTGGAGGACACTCAGGGGTCCCCACTGCTGATACAAGACTTCTACTCCTGCAGTCCCCCACCCCTCGCCTTGGAGCCTAGCTGCTTAGGGGCTGCATATCTGTCCTCACCCAGGAGGGAGCTCTCGTCCATGAGGAAGGGGCCCCCAAACATGAAGGCCAACTCAGCTCCATGGTCAGCTTTCACCCAGTCTGGCTTGATTTTCGCAAAACAACTAGGGCGATGCTGGAACTCATAGAAAAAGACAGGGCTTCCAGCATCTGCAGAGAGAGGCCAGGATCAGATTAGCTGCTCACAGCCTGATCAGGCCCTGCCTTCGGCCAGACAGGCCCATAATACCACTACGAATAATACTGATGATGATGGTGACCACCTGACTAGCAGTGAGCGTTCTTGAGCACTCACTGGGAGCTGTACTTTATGTGGAATAAACCATTTAATGCTCAAAACAATTTCATAGATTAGATTCTGTTATTATCCCCATCTTACAATGTAGAAACCAAAGCATGGAAGGGTTGGGTATCTTGCCCAAGGCTACACACATTAGGAACTTAAGCTATTTTAGGGCTTTCAGGAATTATCCACCAGATTGGGGGGAAGTAAGACTTTTCAGCTATGAATCTCCAGGGATTGTTGAGGGGCCTGCTGGGTGACCTTTTACAAGTTACTGTACCACTCTGAGCCTCAGTTTACTCTTCTTCAAAGTGCCAGTCACCTCTTATTACTATGATGCTGCACCCCAGAGAAGAAGCAGGGTGTGGGGGTGACAGTGGGCATGGGATGTCAGGAACCAGATACCAGGGACAGACTGCACTGTATCACAGTCAAGTTACCTGTGATGACCTAGCTCCTAGGCCAGATTGAGAGGGGTGAGGCAGATGGGCAGGGCTAGGCTCACCTAGGAGGTCTCTTGAGAAGTTCAAGGTAGGAAAGATGATTAAAATATCACTCAGCAAGTTCAGAAGCCCATGGTCTTTGGTCCGCAGATCCATGCTGTTAGTTTGGTATTCATCTATGAGGGTAAGCATCAACTCGGGGGGGATGTCCTGGGGCAGAAAAACAAGCTCAGGCCTTCTCAGGTCCCAAGGCTGCAACAGACCCTCCCAAGAAGCCCCAACCCCAAACCCTCCCTTCTGGCCTTCCTCTGGCCTTCATGTTCCAGAGAGCAGCCAGCTGCCTCCTCGTTTCTCTGGAGGTTCTAGATAGAGTCTGGGCAAGATGAACTCATGTTTGGAGTCAAATCCCAGCTCTGGGACCACTTCTTGGCTATGTGACACCAACTAGGTCATTGAGCCTCTCTGAAAGTCAGTTCCTGCCTGGCACTCTTGTTCAGCAGCATACGTGACATCACCAGCATAGGGTCTGACATGGAAGAGGTGCTCAATTTCTGCTAACAGGAAGCAAATGAGCAAACAAACGATGGAGGCTTCCCACAGCTCCAGAGAGAAGGGATGAGGGTGTGTTGATGGCAAGACCCTAGGGGTTCCAAAGAAGGCAAATGTATATAGACTGAGCCCCTCTGGGTACCAGTTCCCTGGTAGCCTCATCACCCAGTCTCCTTACAACAACTCTGGTGAGTTGGAAGTATCACACCCCTTCCTTTATAGGTGAAGGAATGGGTTCAGAGGGGTTAGGATAACTGTGGGCAAGTGGCAAGGGTTGGGATTTGCCCCAGAGCCATCTAGCTCCATGTCTGACAGCATGATCTTAACAGCTGGGCCTTTGGGGTCAGAGAGCTGGCTCAACCCTGCCTTTGTCCCTTACCCTCTCTCATGAGACCTTGAGTCTCAGTTTCCTCATCGATAAGATGCAAATCATGAAAGTCCCTACTTCAGAAGGTTGCCATGAGGATTGAAGAAGATGAATGCCTATCCCAGTGCTCAGCACAGAGATTGGCACATAGTGTGCACTCACTAAGAGGCAGCTTCTACGATGACAGTGATGAGGATGCTGATAATCTTCTTTTGAGAATCAAGCCCAAAGAAATTCCTGGGTGGAACTAAAATTTGGTAAATGGATCAAGGGTTTGGTGATAGGTGGGCAGTTGCGAGTGTTGGAGGGTAGAGGCTGAGACCATACTGGGCAGGACACCCACTGGCCTCCTCCCTCCTATCTCACCATCTCAGTCATTATGGTCCTCAGTAGAGCCTGAAGGCCCTCCTGGTTCATCTGCTCAGTCTCATCCAGGAAACCCCAGCCCTGCAGGGACACCAAGTTTCTCTCAGTGCAACCTGACCACTGTCCTCCCCATCCCCAGCCCCACGCAGGTAAACATATACAGCCCTGTGCCTCCATTCAAGCATGGCCAAATCCATGAGTCAACATACCCACAAAGATAAACCTCAACTGAGTGGGGAAATAGTACTAAACATAGCAGAAAAGTGATTACCATGAAGGGAGAGAGAGAGAAGGAGAGGCTACGGGGAAAATTGAAAACATTAAACATTTTTATATGATATAATTTTAAGAGCATAGACTTGAGACCCTGATTGCCTGAGTTCAAATCCCAGCTCTAGCACTTACTAATGCATGATTTGGGACAAGTTACTTAAACTTTCCATCCCTCAGTTTCCAAATCTGTGAAAGAGGGATGAGAATGACCTGCCTCCGAGGGTTGTCGTGAGGACTAAGTGAAGGAGTACATCTAAAGGCCCTGACACAGACTAAGCAATATGGAAATATCAGCTAGTAAAGTTAATTTTGGGAGCTCTGGTGGCATAGTGCCTAAGGCATTTGACTGCTAACCAGGGGGGCTGGCAGTTCAAACCCACCAGCCACTCCTCAGAAGGAAGACTGTGCAATCTACTTCTGTAAAGATTTACTGCCTTGGAAACCCAAAGGGGGGTTGCTATGAGTCAGAATCAACTCGATGTCAGTGAGTTTAGTTTTATTACCAGGCTCTTTGTTATTTTTGTGAGAACAGGAAAAGAAAATTCACAGATGAGTAAACACAAAGAGTGCATACCCAAAGGAAGATGGAAATCTTCACTGGACCTTAAAAAGCTAAACTTAATGCATGGGAATGAAAGAAACAAAGCTTGAAAAATGACAACCTAGAAGGTCTGCATACAAATATCAATTGTGTTTCTATTCACCATAGCCAAAGAGTGGAAACAAGGCAAATGCCTAACAAATGCCTATCAGTTTATCCAACTGAAGAGTGGATAAACAAAATGTGGTATATCCATACAATGGAACTTTATTTAGCCTTAAAAAGGAATAGAATATTAATATATGTTACAACATAGATGAACCTTGAAAACATTAGGTGACAGCAGTCAGACACAAAAAACCATATATTATATTATTTCATTGACTTGATGGCAACAGGTTTGATTTTTGGTTTTAGATAATGAATTTAGTAAATATCTGGTGGACATTTTTGCCATGGAAATGTAAACATATAAATATAAATATATGAAACATCCATAATAGGCAAAGCCATAGGATTTGCAGAAGAATGGATGCCAGGGCCTGGGAAGATAGGGGAAAAAAAGAGTGGTTGCTAATGGGTGCAGGATTTCTTTATTGGAGTGCTAAAAATATTCTGGAATTACATAGTGATAATAGTTGCATGAACCTGGGTGGCACAGTCAGTTGGTGATCGACTGCTAACCTAAAGGTTGGCAGTTCGAACCCACCCAGAGACTTCCTGGAAGAAAGGTCTGGTGAACTGCTCCATCGAGATGGTAGCCAAGTACCACTGTCAACCACTTGGAGGGGGAATCTATGTAGGAGACCCTGATAGAGTGGGAACAATGTGGAACAAAATTCAAAATCATAAAAAAACAGGGGGGACCAGGTTTGCTGGTTGATAGAGCCTGGTGGAACCCCTGAAACTATGGTCCCTAGCTGCCCTTCAGGTCTGGAATTGAACCCACTCCTGTGGCTTCCAGCCAAACAAAAGACAGGCACATAAGTGAACATTTACATGAGGTAAATACACTCCTTGGAGAGATTAATCATGGGAGAATAGAAGGTCTGTGTATGCATAGGGAGACAGCTCAGGGGCAGGAGTACATGGAGGGAAGGACACAGGGAAGATGCATTGTGGGAAACTACAGTCAATGTCATGAGACAAAGTGTATGTGAACCGCTGTATGGAAAGTGAATTTGCTCTGTAAACTTTCACCCAAATCACAATAAAAATAAAATAAAATCTAAAAAAGACTGTAGTCAAGAAAACCCTATGGAGCAGTCCTACTCTGGAGCACATGCGATCTCCGTGAATGGGGGACTGACTGGATGGCAGCTAAAAACAATAAAGGTCACACAGCTTTCTGAATATACTAAAAAGAACACTACATTGTACACTTTAAAAGAGTGGATTTTATGGTATGTGAATTGTAGCTTAATAAAATCGATATATTAAAAGAAAAAAAATGGTGATCACAAATGCTGACAAGGTTGCATTGAACCCTGTAGACTCACATTGCTGGCAGCAGTGTAAGTAGCCACAGCGTTTTGAGAAAATAGTAAGGCCCTATGTGAGAAGTGGAGAGGTCTCCATAGGAGTGTGAGTTACTTTCCGTGACAATAACTTCCACCACGGGTACTTAGTAAACTCAGCATCCACAACCGAAAACCAAGCCCATTGTCATAGAGTCTATTCCTACTCATAGGGACCCTATAGAACAGAGTGGGGTTTCTGAGGTTGCAAATCTTTACTTTCTCCTGAGAAGTGGCTGGTGAGTTCGAACTACTGACTTTTCAGTTCGCAGCTGAGTGCTTCCACCAGTACGCCACCAGGGCTTCTTACTCAGCATTGGTTGGCTCGAAAATGTACAGCTACACTCACATTGACAGTGAGGAGGGTTCAGGGAATGCCAACACCAGTGTTGCGGCAAGCAGCCCCCTGAGCCACCCAACTCCTGAGAAGCAGCCTTGGCTACAGGTCTTGGATGCAGCATTCCATGCCCAGCAGGTTTGTCCAGGTCTGGACAGCTAGCTATATTGATTCTCTCACTTCTACTGGCAGCTCTAACGGTATGGGGCAAGTTGCCTGCCAGAATGCCTGGGGCAAAACTGGCAGCTCTAACGGTATGGGGCAAGTTGCCTGCCAGAATGCCTGGGGCACTGTTTTGCCCCAATACTTTTCTGCCAGTGAACATACACACACACCTGACCTAGAAACTTCTTCATCCTTGATTGTCAGCAAGCAGCTGGGATTGTTTCCAAAGAAGTAAGTCACAGGTGACAAAACCCATGGACATGAAGATGTCCAGTGCACTACTAGCTTCAGTGTTAAAAACCAGAAGCTGTGAAGGAACACTGTGATGGGGCCCTCCCTTTGTGGAAGGACTTGCAGTCATCAAAGGCAATCACTGATCATGATGGGCAAAAGCAGCTGCAGGAGATGACAGGGTGCTCAGGAAGGAAGTGTGATTGTGACATTCGGTGTGGGGCAGCCTGTGCACCTGGCAGGGACTGAAAGGTGTTTGGGTCGTGCAATCTCCCAGTGGTCTTGATGTTTCCTGAATCCTGAGAAGCAGCTTCTCAGGTACAGAGTCACACCAGCCAGCTTCACAGAGCCTGATGTATAAAGCAGACACCAAGGCTGGAATATGCCATGGATGAACACTGCCTGGAAGGCCACCTTGCACAAAAGCTTGGTCCCAAGAAGGAAGCAGTTGCTTTGTAAAAATGAAGCCTTGGCTAGGTGACCTCGAGCAAGTCCCCTAAACCTCCCTGAGCCTCAGCTTTCTCATCTATCACATGGGGATAACAGGAGTGCTCAGTTCACAGGGTTGTGGGGAGATGGTGGGGTGACAGAGGACTGATCATGACAGAGCCTTGAAGGGCACAGGGGCTGGAGGACACTCACCTTGGGGATGAGCCAACTAAATTCGTGATTATTGACACCCAGAAGGAAGGGCACAGGGTGGAACTGCCTCTCCTTCAGGAGCTCCATGGGTTTCTTGGGAAAGAAGGTACCATCAATGGTGTGGTGCATGACATACGTTTTCTGTAGGAGAAAGCAAGACAGGAGACCATCCCATCAGGCCCAGCCTCAAAGGATGGAACCCCCAAGGGCCACCTGACTATGTGCCTGAGCTGCTAAGCTTGGAGAGAAAGTGAGTGCATGCATGTTGCCAGGGTTAGGGGGCCCATGAGGCACTGGGAGAACAGGAACTAGTGCTTCCAAACAGGCTTCTTCTCTAGAAGATGGACTCTTCTCTCAGGGCTGGGCATGGCCCCCTGTTGAGGCCCCAGGACTACCTGGGTTCTCAACCCTTTCCCCCTATGGTAGAGCTGTCCCAGGCCTCATCTCAGACCCCTAACAGCCCCCCTCCTCACATAGGAGCTAGACAGGACTCTCTGTGCCTTTGCCCACCATGTCCCCAAAGACACAGATGCACCTGGTGGGACTTCTTGGTAAAGATTATGTCTTCACCTCTCTTCTGCCGAAGGCACTGCAACATCTCAGCCACAGAGTTGAAGGGGCAGTCCAAGGAGTCTGCAATGTTCTGGAGACAGCCAAAAGTGTCTAGCCTCCCTTGTACCCATCCACCCCACCTCCTGGCCCTCTGCCTCCCACAGAGTCTATAGGTGAGCTGGGGTGGTGATGTCAAAGATGACTGCCAAACAGCATGGGTGGCCCCCAGCCACCTTGTATGTCCTCCATTATATCTTATTGTCATTATCTGTGTGTGTGGCCAGGTCCCCTTTGCCTCTCTGAGAACAGTGTCACCACTAGTTAAACATGTCCCCAGAACCAGAGACATCAGTAAGTTTGCAGAGTAAATAAGGACATGAGATAGGATTTGGAAAGGGAAGGACTCCAGCAGTGAGTGCCAAAGTCCAAGGGGATGATGGAGAGGTGACACTGGGGCAGGGTCAGGGTGTCAGGGGGAGATGAAGTTGGAGGGTGGCTTCAGGTCACTTCATGGGCTGTGAATACCAGGCTGGGAGACATGGTCGTTACGGTCAGTAGCAGGCCATTGGAGTGTTTGGTTGACCTGCATTTTTCTTAGGACATGGAGAGCTGGAAGACCTAAAGTCTGTGGTTGGAAAACCTCTCTTGGCCATGGTGAGGGAATAGCTGAGGCAGCTGGGAGCTGATCCTGTTTTCCAGACAAGAGGCCATTTGTCTGTGCTGGGGCCCCAGACTTCCTGAATCACCCTGCACCTAGGGGGTAAGACGTCCATCCCACTTCTCTATCTCTGCTGAGATCTACAGCCAGGTGAGGGCACTGAGGCCATGAGAGCCAGTCTCCCAAGTTCCGCTCACCACCACCCCCATCACCTATCCCATGGCACTACCCCCTGCCCCACACTCTTCTCCTTGCCTGAACTCTGACTTTTCCCTGGCTTCAAGGCCTCTAGGATTTCTGCCTTTGATACACCTTCCACTCCAAGGCCCTGTGAGCTTCTGAGAGGCTAGTTCACCTTCAGCCTGCTTCTCTGCCCTCTGGAGAAAGTCCAGATTTGCAGACAAGGCCCATGATGTCCCTGAGACTCCACCCTACTTTTCTAGCCGCTTCACTTCCTGCTCCGTCCTCTAGCCTGCTCCTTTCCGTCTCTGATGGTTTGCTGCTTCCCCTTGTCTCACATCTCCAGACTTTGTAGATGTAGTTTCCAGCCAGAGGCTCTCCGTGGATTCCCCTGTCTATCCTTCCAAGTCCTCACAACCGGGCTTTAGGCTGGGCCTCCGGAGCCTGAATGGAGATTTCTCGGGCAGCACGTGGCTGGGAATACAGGTCTCCTCCCTCAGGCTACCTAGGGTAGAGGGCTGCTCCCCAAGGCCCCACCTTGGGGAAGATGGTGCTCAATAGCGGCCTTCTCCAGATAGCCATCCCTGACTACTCTCCATGCCCTCCCACCCCCTGCAATGGCCGTTTCCTCTTAGCTCCTATGGCGGTATGTTCCCTTCATCCTTGTGTGTCTGTCTCTGTTAACAGGAAGTTCCTCTAGGATCCCAGAGCCAGCACAGGGTGGGGTGGGGCAGGTGCTGGCAAGGTGAGAGAGTGAAGAAGATGAAGACCTGAGCCAAGGACAGTGGGTCAGACTTCTGTATCCTTGGGATGTTAATGACTCCGCTCTGTGCTATGGCTCTGTGAAACAGCCCTGCAGCCAGCGGGGACAGGACCTGGAGCAGCAGAGGAGGAATACCGTCAGAGAAGGGCAGAAGAGCTAGGAGACTCAGGGTCACAGGAGTCCTCCCAGTCACCCTGCCCTCCAGGCCTGAGTACAGACTCACCAGAGCAGAAACAATCATGGCACCTGAAGACGACCCAAAGATGGTGACACAGTTGGGGTCGCCCCCAAAGGGGGTGATGTTTCCCTGCACCCAGTGAAGAGCTGCCACCACATCTAGGTAGGCCCAGTTGCCTGGTGCATGCCTGTCCTCGGTGCTGGTGGCAGGGAGGGCAGTGGTTAGCATAACCTGACTCCTGTGGCAGGTTCTCTTTGGCATTGGTAGGCTTGCTTTGCACCAGCCACAAGGATATTGTACTCTCCTCTGCTCCCACCGTCTGGCTGGCTCTGAGCCATGCTAGGTGTATACATGCTTGGCACATTGTGTGAGCAGGCCCAGCTGGGCAGCCAGCCAGGGCTGGCTCTCCAGTGGCTGCCAGAATTTGCTGCTCTCTGTCCCCACACCACGCTGTGATTTTGATCCCAGCCCAGGAGCCAGCAACCTTTGCCCAAAGGACAGAGTTTATCACCAACTCTGGCTTTGGCTAGGCTCCTTCCTCAGGGTGGAGCTCCAGAGAGCACCCTCTCTGCCCAGGCAGCTTGGGGGAGAAAGTTTTAGGTCCCAGACACCCCACCCCATCTGAGAGATCCCTGTTTAGGCTCTGGCCACCCATCCTAGATCCTTGAGACCTCACGAGATCCAGCCTCTCCTCTGTGCAGTCCATGCCCTCCTCCAAGCCTGCTATCTCACCTGAGGAAGCCAAGCATCCCAAGGCGGTACTGGATTGTGACCACTACCACATCCCCAAATGCAGCCAGGGCTGACCCGTCAAAGGAGGTGGCGGCACCAACTACCATCGAGCCCCCATGAATCCACACCATGACCTGCAAAGATGTGACAGTGACTCCAGGTCCTGGGACCCCAGCTGCCCATCCACCAGCCCAGGGCGCTGTCAGAAGTTTTGGGCCAGGTTAGGGACAGGGATGGAGAAGGGACAGGCTAGGCAGAACAGAGCTGGATGAGGGGACAGGGCCCTCTCTACTACATACCGGCCTCCTAGCCCCTGTGGTGGCCCCAGCTGGGCTATAGATGTTGAGGACCAGACAGTCCTCTGAAATCGAGAAGACCTGATGCTTTCCGTTCAGCACAAACCTGAAGTTGTCCATTCTCTCCACTTCCTGCAGGCACCTGTAACCAGAGGATGAATCTAGGGGCTACCTGGGCAGCCCCACCAACCCCAGGAACTGGACTCCTGCCAACCAGCCTGCTTCCCACCTCCGCTGGTCTACTCACATTGGGGGAGGCATGCTGGCATCCCGCACACCCTCCCAGGCCTGTGCTGGGAGCGGGGCTGAGAACCGGTTCGGCCCCAATGGTGCCTGGGCAAATGGGATGCCTAGAAAGACATTCACGCGGTGATCTGTGCCTTTCACGCTCACCTGCAGCCCTCGCAGGCGACCCTGGGTGGTGTCCACTTCAGGCTGAGTGACATCAGTCTCTGAGGGCAGAGCAGAGAGGCCAAGAGTGAGTCTGTAGCCTCCATAAGAGGTTAGGGTGGCAGATGGATTCACAGGGTGAAGAATGCTTTCAGACCCACTCAGCACTCACTCCCTGCAGTGTAGTAAATTACTTAGTGTGGCTTTTCTATCCATAAGTCTTTGTAAACTCCAAGGTGGGATTTGCTATGAGCAACTGAGGAGCTCCTGATTGCTAAAGTTGTCCACCTGGGTTATTTCTGTTGGGTGTGGCACAGTGCAATGTTATGGGAGGCTCACTCTCAGGTGCTTAGAATTCTGTTGCTATGATTGATTGGTTTGGCCACTCGGCCAAGCTCAAAAGGAGTCCTCCTAGATGCAGAACTCTCTCTAACTGCTGGTTGAGGAAGACGTGCTGCTGAAAGATACACATGCTCCTGAGACACGCGTTGCTGGGAAAGAGATGCAAGAGACACGCATTGCTGAGTGAGACGCCGAGGGACATGCACTGCTGGGAGAGAGACTGTGAGAGACTGTTGGCTGAGGGACGGTGGGCTGGGAGAGAGACTGAGTGTTTTTCCTGAACTTGAATTGTAACCTGGTGTTTCCCTAATAAACTTCATAATCCGTGAGTTCTGCGTGGCCACTGCAGCGAATTAACGAACCCAGGAGAGAGGTAGTGGGTGCTTTGGGAGGAATGGTTGGAGAAAGGGCTGGAGGGAGGCAGCATGTCTGGCCTCACAGGAATAGGCTTTGGGCTATTGATGGTGATTCCGTCTTCCTCTTGTGAGATCAGAGGAGGTCAGAACATGTGGCCTCCTTGCCGTTTTTGCACTCCGTGAGTGCCTACTGTTCTGGGCTCTGTTCCTGTCCCCTGCCCAGCTGCCCTGTGAGAGGCACAGTGCAATGAATCACTTAATATGGCCCTTCAAGCCATAGTCTTTGTAACTCCCACCAAACGACTGGGTAGGACTATGCAAATGTGAGGTGCTTGTGACCCCAAGAGAATTGGATAGCTTGCTAATAATGTAAATAAGATGCATGGAACCTTGTGGAGGTGGGATAATACAAATAAGGTGTATGGAACCCTAATGTGGGGATTGGTCAGTTTTGCCATCCCACTAGGCTTAAATGAGCCATTTCAGGGGCAGGGAATGGAGAACCTGAATACCACCAAGAAGAAGAGATGGGAACTGAGTGTGTTCTTTGGACTAGGGGCCCCTGAGCTAGGAGACTCCTAAGATCCCCAGGAGACAGAGAGCTGTAACATTGGAGAGACAGCAAGAAGCAGCAGCAGAGGCAATAGAACCAGGAGACTGGCAGGAGATGGCACAGTGGGTTTACCGGCCTGTGAAGCAAGAAAGCTGTGCACCTTTAGGCAGGAATCTCTCTGGCTTAGTGGGGTGCCTCTGGGCACTCGATGGAGCTAAGTTTGCCAACCCACGGAGTTATAGCTGAGCACCTTCCAGCCAAGGTTTACTAGCAGAATGCTGTGACTCTGGGCATTTATTGGCAGAGCTAAGAGAGCTTTGTAACACTTGCCTGAGCAGGCCAAGGGACTGAGACCCAAAGAGAGGCATGTCTGTGGGCAAGGCTGAGAAGAGGCTGTCCTGATCGAAGAACTATCCTGAGTCCTTTCTGATCCTGAGTTGTAACCTGTTACTTCCCTAATAAACTCTGTGATTGTGAGTATTGTCTGTGAGTTCTGTGTGGCCATTGCAATGAATTATTGAAACCAGCAGAGAAGTAGAGAGTGTCATTGGAAGGACAGAATTGATTAAAAAGGTTGGAGGGTAGATGCATGTCCAACCTCCACCTCATAGGAATTAGTCTTGGTTGCTGGTTGTTGATCTTAAAATTTCTCCCTTTCTTGTGAAGTTAGAGGAGGTCAACCACTGCTGCCCCCCTACCAGTTTTATAAATGAGTCCCATGAATGCCCTGGACTTCCTCCACCCTGGCTTGCCATCATTACCACTCCCCTCCAGGCCAAAATCAGGACCAAAGTGAAGGAACCGGGTTCTCCTGGGATGCACAGACGTGCCGTGTGGCCTTGGACCAGCCACTCACCTTCTCTGAACTTCAGATTACTTATATGATAGATAGGTACAAAGGAACCCTGGCTGCTAACCAAATTGTCAGAGGTTTGAACCCACCAGCTGCTCTGCAAAAGAAAGATTCATCTTTTCTATCTCTGTAAAGATTTACAGCCTTGGAAACCCAATGGAGGTCAGTTTGAGTTAGAATCAACTTGATGGCAGTGAGTTTGGAGTTTTTTGTTTTTTGAAGATAGGTACAATTCTGGCAGGGCTGCCCTGGCATCAAACAAGGTGGCAAAGGCAAAGCCCCCACACAGAGTATGTACCACCCCTGGTATCTCTACGAATTGAGGAGCTGTTCCTTGAGTAGGCTACCCACCCCTCCCTGTCTTTACCACTCTCCGGCCCCCTCCTTCCAACTCCTTCCACCGACCAGAACTCCCACCCCTACAGGCCTGCAGTTGTGTCTTACCAGTGGCCACAGTAAGGGAGGCCAGGAGCAGATAGGCCACCCAGACCTGGACCCTAGAGCCATCTCTTACTGCTGTCCCCATGTTCCTTGCTCCCAGCTGGTAGTGGGTAGAATTGGTAGGTGGAGTGAGAACTCTGCCCTTCAGCCTGGTCCACCCACCTGGCTGGAGCCCAGCTGCTCCAGGACCCACTGACTCTACAAGGTAGACTAGAGAGGGAGGCGGGAGCGGAGGAGTGCCCTGCAGAGGCCCGGATGATACGACAGCCCAGGCACAGGAAGGAGCCTGGCCGTTATAGTTCTTTAGCCCTTGGTTCCAATCCTAGCTCTCCTGACTCTGTGACTTCATTAGACCCCATGCACTCACTGAAAGATGTCCCTGTCACCAACTTGAGCCAGGGGTGGCCAATGACTAGGGCACCACTCCAAGTGGGCCAATAGGCCTGGGGTGTGTGTGGAAGGGCTGAGCCCCCATGTGGGAGGGGGGAACTGAAGATGATTCTCTTGGAGAGCCTCAGGGCTTTGGGCCAGAGCAGACCTGCCACAGAGCAGACCTGGGACCCAGGATGCTCTGGGTGTATGTTGGGGTCTCTGTGTAGCCCCACTTCCTCAAAGAACCCTCAAGTGTTGGGCCTGAAGCAGGGTACCGCCCTTTAGTGGCCCTGAGAGCTCCTGAGGATGAGGGTGGGGAAAACAGGAAGAGTCATATCAGCAACCCACCAAAAACCAAAAAACCAAACTCACTGCCGTCGAGTCAGATCTGACTCATAGTGACCCCTCTTTGGGTTTCCAAGGCAGTGTCGCTACGGAAGTAGATTGCCCGGTCTTCCAACCCATAATCCCCTCCAAATCCCAAAAACGTAATTTAAAAGCTAGAGCTGCATTGAAATCTGCCTCCTCCAAGTGTGTGTGTATGTTATCTCACAGTTCTGGGCCTAGTTGCTGCATCTGTATAACAATGATGCTTCAACCTCAGACGGGTGCAGTGAGGTTACATGTATGAATACATGAGGTCCAGATCCAGAACTGGATGGAAGCCCATTCTTGCTTCAGGACAGGGATCTGTCTGGGTTTCTGTCCCCTGCTGTCTCGGACACCCTTTTACTATAAGGGAGGGTACGCCTTACCTCTGAGCTTCAATGTCAAGAATAGGGCTGGTAGGGGTGAGAGTTGGGAGGCTGGGCGTATAGCACAGGAATGGGTCATTAGCAAATATTTGTTGATTCAAACAGTGGGAAGTGCTAGGTCATGGAGGGACAGGGTGAAGGCCTCTGGGTTTTTTTGGTTTTTTTTTTGGTGCTGCCTCCAAACCTTTGTCCTTCCCTAGTCACTCCTTGCTATCATCACTCCAAGCCTTAGTCACTCCACTTTGTTTATTCTGTAAAGATTTTTAGCTCCTGGCCAGAACCATATCTCTGGAAAACAGCACCTATGAGACGGAAGGGAGGGAAAATTGCTAGCTAATTGAGAGACATGTATTGATTTGGGTGAAGGGAAAGGCATATAACAAAAGCATGTGAGCAGCACAAAATCACTAAGGAAAAGGACAACATGGAGAAGTGCAGGAGAGATACAGACAACAAAGGTAAACACTATTACATGCACAGTAGTGCATTATCGGTAATGGCAACATTTGCTAGGGAGGCAGGAATGTGTAGGTAAGAAGGACATAGGGAAAGGGTAACCACAGGGAGGAAGTGGGAGGAGACCTGTTACATTGTGAGGATTGTAATCAGTGTCATCAGACAAAATGTGTTTGAACCGTTGAATGGAAAATCAATCTGCTTTGTAAAATTTTACCCAAATCACAGTAAGTTTTAAAAATAAAGTAATAATAATCATAAAAGAAAATAGCACCTATGGCAATTAGTTTTAACTTGCTGAAGGAGCCTTTGCAGCTGGTATAGAAACAAGCCCCTTCAAGTGGCACCCAAGGGACACCTGCTATACCTTAACGAGGCCTTTGCTCCTGGCTCCTGCAGGCTCCCCACTGAGTCTTAAAATCTTCAACACTCACATCAGAGCACCAGGATAGCCTCTCTTCCCACAGTCTCCTCCTCCACCCCCTTGGGTTTAGATATCATCAGGAAGAGCTTCCATCTGCTCCATTGACCAAGTTCCCCAACTCCCCAAAGGTAGGTTGTCCACACACTCTGGCCTCCTTCCTAACTCTGTGTCTGGGCCCGTGAGGGCCTGGACTAGAGTGAAGCAAGCAAGGAGCTAAGGCACAAAATCTAAAGAGGCACTCACCCTCAGAGTCATGCAAGTGCAAGGTTGGCACCCAGAGTGAATACCTCCTTCAGTTTTGTACCCTAGACCCCTCTCTTGCTCTGAGATGCACCCATGGACCCCGGGCCCTCTGCCCACCTATCTCTTCAGATCTATCTCTTCTGCACTATCAGCCTCTACTGCATCTCTCCCTTCAGCTACAAACACATCTTACAACCCCACACCAACCTCCCTTGACCTCAATGTCTCTAGTCTTTGCTCCATTCTTTCGTTCTTTGAGTTGGAGCAGACTTGACGACACCTAACAACAACTTTCTTTCCTTCCAGTCTGTCCTAGGAGTTGTTCTTGACTTCCACCCAATCAGCAAGATCTGTTTTTTACGGCTGGCCGGCTGTGCCTCCCATTTACCTCACTGTGGTCTAAGCCATGTGCCTCCCCCCCCCCCAACCTTGGTACATGTAACCTTTGCCCTTAATTCTCATGACCTAATTAATGAATACCTAGGCTGTGAGTGCTAAGAGATCCCTAGCTCCTCCTGTCTGAGTCCTGTTACGCAGCTCCTTATGTTAACTGGACAATAAACTACTTCCTCCTGATCCCAAAGTTTCAGTCTGTGACTACTGGGGAAATGGTTCCCATGTACTGTGTCACTTGCTACACTACTGTTCAGGGAGCCTGGCCCTGATGATGACCAAGACGTGGAATGAAGAAAAGGTAACACCTTGCAAGGCAAGTCTTAGGCACCTGTCTGTCTATGTATGTAAGGAAAAGAGCTGTATCTATATATTGATAAATCGATCAAAGAAGATGGAAGCAGAGGCTAAAAATCCAGGCAAACAATCACAATAAGACAACATGCCCATTGCCTTACAGTAAATTCTGAATATAAGACAATTGTACTCTGTCTTATAGTACAATTGCCCCATAGGGGCTTCTGAGGCTGTGAATCTACCTTTGCAGACATAGACTGCCACATCTTTGTCCCTCAAAACTGCTGGTGGGTTTGAACCTCTGACCATTTGGTTAGCAGTTGAGTGCTTAATCACTGCACCACCAAGGCTCTTAGATACCATTCCACATGCATTAAAATGAATTAAATTTAGGAGACCGACGATTCCAAGTATTGGTGAGGTTATGTGTGGTATAATGAATTGTTTTTATATGGCCTTCTCACTATGGTTTTGTAACTCCCAAAAAATGATTGGGCAGGACTATGAAAATAAGCCGCTTATGGCCACCAATGGGATTGAACAGCTTGTTATCGATGCAGGTGAGGTGCATGGAACCCAGTGAGGGTTGTTGTTATTGCTGTTATTAGGTGCTTATGTGCTGTTGAATCAGTTCTAACTCACAGACCTGCCAGTTCTACACCATCCTCCTACTCATTCCCAAGTGTGAGGCCATTGTTGCAGCCTCTATGTCAATCTATCTTGTTGAGATCTTCCTCTTTTTCACTGATCCACTACTTCACCAAGCATGGAGTCCTTCTCCAGGGCCTGGTCCCTCCTCCTGATCACATGTGCAAAGTACATGAGAAGAAGTCTTACATCCTTGCTTCTGAGAAGCATTCTGACTATATTTCTTCCAATACAGATTTTTTCATTCTTCTGGTACCAAAACCAAACCAAACTCACTGCTGTGAAGTTGATTTGACTCATAGCACTTTTTGGTGGAGCTAGGCTAGCTGATCCACAGAGAGCTAAGTACCTTCAGGCAAGAGACTTCCTGGTGGAGTAGGGTGCCTCCAGGCACTTAGCAGAGCTAACGATCTTTGTAACGCTTGCCCCATCAGGGCATTGGCCTGGCTGAGGCTCTAGAGAAGAGGCCTGTCTGAGGGGGCCAAGAAGAGTCTGTCCTAAAGGGGATGAGAGGAGCCCTGCATGGCCAAAAGCAGCCTGTCCTCTGGATGCCAAGCATGAGGACCTGGGTCCAAGCAGGGCCCAGTGGCAGAGGCAGGGGTGCAAAGTGCCACTTTGGAAAGGAGTTTGATATTTTCTTCAAAAGTTAAACATGCACTTGCCATATGACTCAGCAATTCCACTCTTACATATCTGCCCAAATGAAAACATATGTCCACACAAAGACTTGTCTGAAAATATGAATAACACCTTTATTCACAATAGCTCCGAAATTAAAATCTTGCCAATGTCCATCAATTGGTGAATGATTAAAAATACAACGTGGTATATCCATACAATGAAATCCACTCAGCAATAAAAGGAAAGAACTACTAGCTGAATTTCAAAATACCATGTAAAGTAAAAGGAACCAGTCACCAATTATTCCACCTATATGACATTCTAGGGAGCTCTGGTGGCATGGTGCCTAAGGCATTTGCCTGCTAACCAGAAGGCTGGCGGTTCAAACCCACCAGCCACTCCTGGAAGGAAGGTTGGGCAATTGACTTCTGTAATGATACCGCCTCGGAAACCCAAGGAGGGGTCGCAATGCCACTCCATGGCAGTGAGTTTATGACATTCTAGAAAAGGCTAAGTATAGCAATTCAGGGTTGTCTGGGGCCAGGAGCTGGAGCAGGTATTGACTACAAAAGAGCATAGGGAACTCTTTGGAGGCACGTCGTTGCTGCTATGTGCTCTCGAGTCCAACCCGATTCATAGCGACCCCTCCTTGGGTTTCCGAGGAGGTATCACTACAGAATTAGGTTGCCCAACCTTCATTCCAAAGAGTGGCTGGTGCGTTTGAACCGCCAGCCTTCTGGTTAGCAGTCAAGTGCCTTAGGCACTATGCTGCCAGAGCTCCTTAATTATTAAGTAGTCTTTTAAAAAGTTCCAGGCACCCATTTTTGGAAAGTATAGTGTACATGTGCAGGACTGAAAAACATAAGGAGGCATGCAGCAGGTACTGAAGGAATGACCGTAGGGAGCAGCGGAAACACTACACCTAGTCAGTGTTCTAGGACAAGAAAGCCCCTTTCTCTCACCAGTTCCCATCAGCCCAGCCTCAAGTTTGTCCCAGTCTACCATCTGGTGGCCAGAGTAGGCAACACGGGACTCTTCCTTCTCACCCAAAGAACCTGGAGGCCTTATGGTTGGGTTTCATACAGTGGACACAGAGAAGAGGGACTTTCCTGATGGGAAAACAGGTGCCTGGAAAAGGCAGGTTGGTCAGAGGCCAGGGCATAGAGGGAGTCCGAGGGCCTCTAGAACAAGAGATACGGCCTCTTAATGACAGAAAAAAAGTTTTGGTTGAACAAAAGGGAGATTGAATACAAGTTGGCACCTTTGTATACTGAGATAAAATGTGACAGATTTTTGTGGGTGAAGTGGGAGGAAGGAAAGTTTAGGGGCAGCAATGAGGTAACTATGAAAACTAGTCACCTGGACGGTCACAGTGAGCAGGGGGATAGTCAGGGGGCTAAGGGATTGGCAAGGGGAATTCTCAAAGTCAAGGGGAGAACTCCCTGGAGGGAGTGGCCCTCAGGAGAATCTGGGGAACAGTGGTCGCTTTTCCTCAATAGGCCTGGGCCTTCTGAGCCCTTAATGCCACATCCAGGAAATATCCTGCAGATGAACAGCTTCACCGTGTGCTACAGTCATGTGTTTGGACCTGCAGTGTCTGCAGAACCACTGAAAATAAAAGCAAACTTCAGAAGACAGGCAACTGAGGAGGACCCTGCCTGGCTCTCCTGGCCACATGTGGCCTGACCACACTCTAGGGGCCCATGAACAAGCCCAGTCCTGCTTCTCACAAAAATGGGGCCGGTCAGTTCTGCCAAAAGTACCTCAGTGGGTGAGTGGGTTGTTTTAAATGTCAGTGATAGAAGACATTTAAAACAGGGGACAACTACATTCTCAGTAGTGGGTGACCTTGGTGATGAGATCTCAGAGCTCCAAGGACCCCTAGCTTTCCCTTTCTACTGGCCATTTACAGGTAGGAGAATCTATGAGGCTTGCTGAGAGATGGATTTGTGGGGAGCTTCTGACACCCTGGTTTGGGCAACTTTTGTTTTGTTTTATTTTGATTTGGGTGAAAGGTTACAGAGCAAATTCATTTTCCATACAGAAATTCATACACATTTTGTTTCATGACATTGACTGCAATTCCCCACAACGAACAGCTCTCTTCCCACTTCCTCCCGGTAGTTACCTCTTCCCTGTGTCCTTCCCTATGTATTCCTGACCCCAAGCTATCTCCCTGTGCAAACACTGCCCTTCTGTTCTCCCAGAATCAATCACTCTAAGGAATGTATCCATCTGATGTAAATGTCTACCCTATATGGCTATCTATTGTTTGGCTGGAAGCCACAGGAGTGAGTTCACTTTCAGACCTGAAGGGTAACGAGGGGCCACCATAGTCTTGGGGATCTCACCAGGCTCTATCAGACCAGTAAACATGGCTTTTTTTTTTTTTTTTTTAATTGTTATGATTTTGAGTTTTGTTCCACATTGTTCTCCCACTCTATCGAGGATCTCCTGCACTGATCCCTTTCAGAGTGGTTGACAGTGGTAGCTGGGCACCACCTAGTTCTAGTTCTAGTTCTAATTCTGGTCTCATGGTCTCATGGCTGAGGATGGCATGGTCTGCTAGTCTGGTTTGGGCAACATTTCCAGAAGGCCCTTTCTCAAGGTATAAAAAGGACTCTAAGTAGAGGAGGGAGAGGGTGAAGGTAAGGAAGGGAGGGTGGAGCCCAAGGCCCAGTGGGGTTTGAGGGAAAAGAGCCAAGGCAGATTTGGCAGCTAACCACATGCAGTAGGCTCTTAATAAATGTTTGTTGAAGAATGGACCGAAGAACGAAAGAATAGCTGTGTGAATGAGAGAATAAATTCCTGGCTCCTTAAGGGGGGTGTGTGGGCCCACCAGGCAGACCACCTGCTCCCAAGCCCACCTTCCACCCCCAGACCCAGGAAGCTACAGCTCCATGTGCTTCTCCTTGGCCTCCATTAGTTCCTGGATCTTCTGGGGCAGGGTCTTTGCCCAGAACTGGAGCCGGTCAGCCTTCAGGGCCTGGCCCACGGTGGGCTGCATATTCAGCTGCAGGTATTGCTCTTCCTGGTCAAATATGGGCCAGTGGGGCAGACCCTCACCATTGGGGTTCCTGTAGACCACCAGGATAATGTAAAGGTCACTGTGAGCCCTGCTGAGGCCAGCCCCAGACACCTTGACTGGCGTCAGTCAGCAAGGTAACCTAGCAGGCTGGGTGGGCTTGAAGAATGAGGAAAGGGTTTCCAAATATAGGAAAGAAACCACCCTCCATCAGAGTATCAGCTCTGTGAGGAGCAGGGCAACCTGGTCTGTTTGTCCGTCCCTTTCAGAGGGAGGCTCTGGCTATAACATGGCATTGTCACCCACCCTCCAGGTTACTGTGGGATGAGACAATTGCCCAGCACCTATAACATCCCTTTCTGTGGGTCTTGGTGCTGGGGAAGGGGTTGTCATGCAATTAGAGATACATGCAGGTTAATGGGGTCATCACAGGCAAGAGGAGCCTTGGGTGGGTACAAGCCCCCATGGAAGCTGAGGTGGGGTACATCATCTCACCCATTTCGAGCAAAGTTGGTCCAGTACTTCATCATTTTCCTGCTCAGCAGCTCTTCCTCCTCAGTGAATTTAACTGCAGAGAGGACAAAGAGCCAGGTCAGGGTCAACTATAGTCTAGCTGCCAGTTCATACACATGGATCACTCTACCACATTCACCATCCCAGGCATAGCTTTCCCCTGGCTCCTTAGGGCTATGTCTGGAAGATCCTACCCTCCCCAGGCCTGGCTCTCTGCCTGTCCCCCACAGCCCTGGGGAGCCAGACTTTGCTCTTGTCCCAACATCCTAAACTTAGCTCAGCTCTGGCTGACCCAACATTGGGCTTATTCCTGGCCTAGAAGGTCCTTTACTTCCTTCTTCCACCGACTTTCTTTCTTCCTTCCTTAAGACACAAATAAGCCTTTGAAATTCCCCTGCTGTACTCCTGCAGAAACCCATCTTGGGGTGGGGAGGGGTGGAGAAAACACAGGTGCTAGGTCCACAGTCTTGGAATCCTATTCTGCTTCAGCCTTTCTAGATGTAAGATCTTTGACAACAGACCTTGTCTTCTCTGTTAGCCTCAGTTTCCTCAACTACACAGTGAGGGCAATCACCCCTTGGGGGCCCAGTCACAGTAGCATCCCACTCTTGGGGAATATGAAGCTTTCAAGAGACCCTAGCCAGGTAGACTTACTGTGGTTGTTCCAGGTGAAGATTCCAAAGATAAAGACAATCTCATCACCATGGTCTGCCTTCACATAGGGTGGTTTGATGTCCTTTAAGAAGCGGGGCCGATGCTGGAACTCATAGAAGTAGACAGGGGCATGGGAACCTGGGGATAGGGTGGGAGGACTGAGATGTGGCAGCCCCTCACTTGGAGCTTACCCATGTCAACCACAGTGATGGGATACCTAAGTTCAAGGCTGGCTGGAATCTGGACAATGGTGTAGGGGAGCCTCAGGCGGGAGCAGGGGCAGTGGGAAAGGCCTGGGTTCAAATCCTGACCTTGGAACTTCCTAACTATGTGGTCTTGGGCAAGTCACTGAACCTCAGTTTCCTCATCTGTAAAATGGGAAGAACGTCCATCTTTTAGACTAGGCCTTCCCTGGGACCCACAGCTCTGAGCTGTCCCCTTTCTAATTGAGCTTTAATTATAGATGTACTCACGATGAAAATTTGCTACTTGGAGGGCAGGAATCACGAAGATGTAGTCCCCCATCATCTCCTGGTACTGAGCTCGGAGGGTCTGGGGGTCCGTAATGTTCCACATGTACTCCTCCATCAACAGGTCACCATACTCAGAAGGCAACTTCTATTCCAGGTAGATCAGGAAGAGTTATGTTAGGCAGGCTGCCAGGGTAGGGAAGCAGCACTGTCAGGGTAGAGGAGATGGGTCCTGGGATGGGACAGGGAATGGGGGGAGGGGACAAGTTCTGGGGTGACCTTATTCACAAACACACATATTTGTTCATGGGGGACACTGCATGGGCAGAATATTTGGGGGGATGCTCCTGCCTCACCATCTGTGCTGACATTTTCTGCAAGGCAGCCTGAATGGTCTCTCTGTCCATTTCTGTCTGGGTTTCAGAGGTGCCCAAGACCTGGGATGGGGGAGAGCCTTGAGTTAGGGGTAGTATAGACCTGGAGCTACTAAGCCCTGAGGCCATCCCACCAGATGGGCTCCTTTGGGACTCGGGTTTACGCTTGGGCCTCACCATGGGAATGACCCAGCCGTACTCATCGTTGTTGACACCAATGATGCTGGGTACAGGTTGAAAGTCATCAGAGGCCAGCAACTCCCGGGGATGCCTGGGGAAGAAGACCCCATCCACCACAGACGGAAACAACTTGAAGGCCTGGGGGAGAGTCAGGGAGAAAGGCTCAATGCTAGAGAAGGCCTGAAACATCTTCTGATGCCTGTAGGTGCTTTCTACTCCATCCTGGCTCCTCCCAGGATGTTCATACCTACCCCAAGAGGTCCTACACCACCTGGCTTAGCACAGCCTGGTCTGGGGTTCCCATCTAAGGCTGTGAGGACATCAAGACATGGAGATGGAGTATCTTCCCCAGGGAGTATGAAGGGCACCCAGGCCTATCTGCCCCACACCCAGCCCATTCATTCAGCCCCCACCTTGCTGATGCCCAGAATCTCCTCCTCATTCTTGCCTCGCAGACAGCTCACTAGTGTCTCTGAGTCCACCTGGCCACAGGCCGACAGGTTGGCCAGCATCTGTAAAGGGACCAGGCAGGGTCTGACTTGGTCTTCAAGGCTGGCAAAAGACCCAAAGCCCCTGTTGGGAATAGGTGCACTCCACATCTCCTAGGGTATTATGTGTGGACTCCTGTGTTTTCAAAATTATTTCAACTTTCCTGATAATCATAGGGCTCAGCCAGACAGCCATCCACCTGCCTGGGTGATTTTGCCTGATGCCCCACCCCCCCAAGCTAGCAGCTCTGTGGACCACAGAACACACACAGTCTCTGCAATGGCAGGGGCCTGTGGATTCTGACACTTGAGCCCCTCAGCAATCCCTGGGTAGGCAGCAGTTCTCAAGGCACCCAAATGGGAGGGGTGTCCTCATTATCCCCATTTAGCAGACAGAATAATGAAGGCTCTGAGTAAGGGGTGACAGCAGGTCTGGGCTTCCCACAAGTGGAGAACTCACTGTGGAGACTACATCAGATGAGCTGGCTATGAAGCCAGGCAGCATGGCCACACCACTCTCCATGATGGCACCGTGGAAGAGTCCTTGGGACATGGGGGACACAACATGTGAGGACACACTTAGGCCACCTGCAGACTCTCCAAAAATGGTGACACGGCCAGGGTTGCCTCCAAACTGGGCAATGTTCTGCTGGACCCAGTGCAGTGCTGCCACTTGGTCCAGGTAGCCCCAGTTGCCAGTTGCATGCTTGTCTCCAGTGCTGAGAAGCGATAGAGACGGGGTTTACAGGACTATTTTAGCTCTGCTCAGCCACATTGCCCACCTCAGCATCAGCCTCACCTGAAGAAACCCAAGATACCCAGACGGTACTGGATAGTGACCACCACCACATTGTTGAAGGCCACCAGGGTGGAGCCATCATACATAGAAGCCATGCCCATCGTGAGCCCGCCGCCATGGATCCACACCATCACCTGGGGAAATTGAGAAATGGGTACTGTGTGGCTCCCACCCAACCCCCCAACTCCACTAGGGCTGCTACCTAGGCCATCACTGCCTTCATTTTGCTCACCTACCCACACAGACAGAACTCCAGTAAGACAAGTGGCATCTTCATGACCTGGGCCAAGTGTGACCCAAGTTCTATCAGGAAGACTAGGCCTCCCATCCTTTGGGACCTGCTCCATGTGTCAACCTGGCTCCATTTCTCCCAGAACCCTCTCTAAAGAGGAATGAAAAGGGGTGTCTTCCTAACCATCCTACTTACACATTCATTAACTGTGGCCTACATTTAACCCATGGCTAGGGTCATAGTGCAGCTCTTGGGCAAATGATGGGTCTCCCCTGGCCACAGATTGGCTACATCCTGCATCCATGCCAAGGCCATAGCCTCTTCAGAAACAGCTGGGCTCTGTGACCCCATACCTGGGGTCAGATGGCCACTCTGGGTAGAAAACATGCTCTTGAGCCTGATGATCAAAGTGATGGCTTCTTGGTAACAGGCCTCTCAACAGGGTCCATGCTGCAGTGGGCCCAGCCTGGTCTTGCCCTTTCTAATCTTTTTGCAGAAGAACTATCTTCCCACCCCCTAGTCAGCCATGCTGGAACTCACAGGCAAGTTAGTGCCCTCATGGGTGTGAGCAGGTGTGTAGACATTGAGGTACAGGCAGTCTTCAGACATATGGGTGAAGGGCAGGGTCATATTCAACACATTCTTAAACATCGCATCCATTGCAGTGAGGTCCTGTAGACACCTGGTGGCCGTGGCAGACAGTCAGTCTTGGCACTGTGCTGTGGTCAGAAACAGGCCTTAGGCCCAGATTTGCTCCCAGCCACCTATCCTCTCTCTGATATTCTGCTTATACATGGTCCTTCTCTGAAGTCCCTTCGCACCAAGTTACAGGTCATAGGTTCTGGGCAAGGTGGGATGGAGCCTGGCCTTCCAGGGAGACTCTAAGGCTGCTGAGGGCCTTGGATACCACTGGACACTCTTGGGGATCTCTGTGAGAACCATTGGTTGCAATGTGTTGACATTCTCCATTGTATCTCTGTACACAGGGGCTAGACCACACACATAAGCTGGGTGAAAGAATGGATGTTAGTTTCTCATAAGAAAGGCAGTAGGACATCCTCCACCCTACATCAAGACACTCAGGGATGTTCATCAGTTCCACAGTTTCCAGTTGTAATGACACACATATATATGCCTCTTGGCCAGTGGTATGTGGCCCCACCAATTGGCACAATTAGAGTGAGGGTCCTCAGGTAGCCACCTCTGCTGCTCTCCTCAGGGGCTCCTTACAAGGTTCAGAGCCAGTTCAAACTATGCAGAGACACCTCCCACTGGTGGCAGAAAATATTTGGCATAACCAGAATCCCAGGGGAGACATGTGTCTGCTCATCTCTTTGCCACTTGGAATGTCCTCCAAGTACTAGGCCCTGAGCCAGGAGCCTAGATACATGGCTCTGATCATTCTTCTAGCACCTGGGGCTAAAGCTCTCCAGGTGCCAGGCTCTGAGGCAAGAGCCTGGCCCAGTGACTCCACCCTCTGCAAGCTTTTCAGGGGTGGGAACTCACCAAACAGATTGCAGGGATTTAGATAAGATGACTACTGAAGCCCAGTCCAGATTTCAGAGTACCTCCCACCCTGCAGCTTAGAGTTCCCTGGACCCCTAGGGGAGCACTTACATGGCTGGATACGAAGTCCCATCCCGCACACCACTCCATGGCTCAGGGGGCTGAGGGGGTGCAAACCGCAGTGGCCCCAGGGGTGGCTTGGCAAAGGGAATTCCCAGGAAAGTGTGGACCCCCACTTCGGCACCCTTCACATGGATGAGGCTCCCCTGCACCTGCCCTGTGTGTGTGGTCCGGATGGGGCTGGCAGAGTCCTGTCCTGTGGGTAGAGAGATAGACATTAGGGTGGGGTCTGCCCAATCAGCTGCCCTGCAAGACCATTGAAATTGCTGGCTCCTTTCTTTCTGCAGCTCAGCTCATGGGATACTCATCTACAAACACACGCTTTACAAACTTCCTATATGAGCCTGGATCCTTTCTAACCCACCTGCTTTCACTGGGCCTGGCCCATTATACTTTCCCACCAGGGTGAGGCTCCTTGGGGCTTGGCACCATGACTCTGCCTGGAGCTTCAAACAAATGGTCATATGCATTTGATGGAGTGAGAGTGTCCTTTCAAAACTGGGAACTGGACAGACATGGTTCCTGTCCTCAAGGATCTCATGCTCTGTGCAGTAGGAAATAACATAAAGAAGACATCGTACAAACAAAGAGTGATGTTGGTGAGGAGCACTACAGAAAAGAAGGGCAGCTAGAACCAGAGGTAAAAAGTGGCAGTCTGCCTTCTTGTGGGGCTCAGTCAGGGATGAAGTGACTGAAAGTTACCTAACAGAAAAGAGCCAATATTCTTAATAGATAAAGATTTTCTACAAATTAGTAAGAAATATGCCAGCCATTCACTGGGGGGGGGGCAGGGAAAGAATATGTCTAGTAATATAAGACTGTAAGACTGTCTGGGTGCATAGTAGAGCTGACAAGGGACAAAGTTGTGGTGACTGTTTGGCCATAGCCAGCTGCCCTGAGGGAGCAAGTAGTTGGACCTGTGGGCTCAGGACCATGGCTGCAGGGGACATCAAGTTCAACTGGCACAACATAATACACAAAAACACTGTTCTATATCCTACTTTGGTGAGTAGCGACTGGGGTCTTAAAAGCTTGCAAGCAGCCATCTAGATGCAACAATGGGTCTCTCCTAGTCCAGAGCAAAGAAGAATGAAGAAAATTAAAGATGCATGGATACAATTAGTCCAAGGGACTACTAGACCATGTGATCCCCAGCCTATATGACCATGGGACCAGAAGAACTACATGGTGTCCAGCTATCACTGTCAACCACTCTGAAAGGGATCAGTGCAGGAGATCCTGGATAGAGAGGGAGAACAGTGTGGAACAAAACTCAAAAAAAAAAAAAAGACCAGGTTTGCTGATCTGATAGAGCCTGGTGATACCCCTGAGACTATGGCTCCTAGTTACCCTTCAGGTCTGGAACTTAACTCCTGTGGCTTCCAGACAAACAACAAATAGGCATATGGGATGAACATTTACATCAGGTAGATACATTCCTTAGAGTGATCAATTCTGGGAGAACAGAAGGGAAGCTCTGGGAGACAGCTTGGGGGTGAGGAATGCATAGAAAAGAAGGACACAGGAAAGAGGTAACTATAGGGAGGAAGTGGAAAGAGAGCCATTACATTGTGGGGAATTGCAGTCAATGTCATGAAATAAAATGTGTATGATTTTCCATGTGGAAAATGAATTTGCTCTATAAACTTTAACCCAAATCATAATAAAGTTAAAAAAAAAAAAAAAAAAGAGTATGTCCAGTCAGAATAAGCAATACAAATAATGGTTCCCAAGCAAATGAAAAGATGTTCACATCACTCATGCTAAGAGAAATGCACACTGAGATCTGACCATGATGTCAATGACCTATTTTGTCACAAGAAGCAAGATAACTAGACACAGCACCACACACAAAGTAGTGTTGTCAAAACAAAATAAAACATATAGTCTGATTCTGATCAAGCCTCGAGAAGACAAATACAAGTTTACAGGGAACACAGGAGGCAGAATGCTAAAAGACAACACAAGGATGCAATCAGCAAAAAAAACCAACCTGTGGGACCCTCCAAAGAGCAAATAACTTGGTTTCTTCAAGACAACAACAACTACAAAGTCACAAGGAAAATAAAATAGAGGCAGAGGGGGAGTTGTGGTTGAAAGACTCAAGAAATACAGGAAAGAAAAAAAAAAAAAACCATAATAACAAGTGTTGGTGAGGATGTGGAGAAACTGGAACTCTCATGCATTGCTGATGGGAATATAAAATGGTACATTCGCTTTGGAAAACGGTCTGCTTTTTAAAAACACTCTGTAAACACCATTTCTGAGACATATGAGAAATGAGAACACTTGCATAGATACTTGCTTAGATGAAGAAATTATGATTTCCTATCAGAAGAAAACTTCTAGAGCTAGGAGAGGAATTTAGCAAAGTCACAGGGTACAAGCTCAAAAAACAAAAATCAGTTAGGTTTCTATATACCAGCAATGAGAAATCTGAAAGAGAAATTAGGGAAATAATTCTGTTTACAATAGCATCTGTTGTTGTTGTTGTTGTTATTTGCCATCAAGTCAGCCCCGACTCATAGCGACCCCTCCTTGGGTTTCCGAGGCAGTATCACTATGGAAGTAGGAATGCCCAACCTTCCTTCCGAGGAGTGGCTGGTGGGTTTGAACCGCCAGCCTTCTGGTTAGCAGTCAAGTGCCTTAGGCACTATGCTACAATAGCATCTAAGAGAATAAAATACATACTGTGGTGCAGTGAATTACTTAATATGGCCCTTCTAGCCATAGACTTTAACTGCCACCAAATGACTGGGTAAAACCAAAAAAATCAAACCCACTGCCATCAAGTCAATTTGACTCTTAGTGACCCTATAGGACAGAATAGAACTACCCTAAGTGGTTTCCAGGGCTATAAATCTTCTTCTTATTATTATTATTTTTTACAAAGAAACTACTTTTATTTGTGTATCAAAGACTCTAAGAAATGATGATGTAACGAGGTTAACAGTTCATAGGACTGAAATGCTACAGATCACTTTCATTCAGCCTCCCTCTCATGTTTAGAGGGCATATCAGAGGACATCTCTGGTGTGGTCCTGACCATACCAGATGTGTCCAGGTGACTCAATTAGAGTTCCCTTCCATCAGTCCTCATTACCTCTCAAGGCTATAAGTCTGTAAGGAAACAAGACTGCCACATCTTTCTCCTGCAGAGCAGCTGGTGGATCCACGCATCCACCATTCAGTTAGCAGCTTCGCACTTTAACCACTACACCCCGAGTGCTCTAATGACCAGGGGGTTGTTGCTGTTAGGTGTCATTGAGTCGTATCTGACTCTATGCACAACGGAACAAAACACTGCCCATTTCTGGGCAGTTGTTGCAGCCACTGTCAATCCATCTCGTTAAAGGTCTTCATCTTTTTTGCTCACACTCTACTTTACCAAGCAAGATATCCTTATCCAAGGACCAGTCCCTCCTGATAATATGACCAAAGTACAAGAGAAATCATAATATAGTCGTTTGATTTGTTAGTTTTGATTGAGGTTATAAAAGGGAGGGTTAAAGAGGGAGGAAAAGCTTTCAACGGATGCAAAGGCTTAGATACGTTTAGGTGGGCTACAGAAATTTACAATCGTTGGCACAGGATACTTGCAATGCACACTTTTCAGAACAAGTTTGTAAGGCCACAGTAAGGAGAAGAGGAAGCACAAAAGTGAGGTAAAAGAGAAGTTTTTATTCTGAGTTCCCGGGCGAGGTTTACGGGTCCCCGAGAGGGGCCGGGGCGAGGTTCACAGGTCCCTAAGAGGGGCCCGAGAAGTCGCACCGCCTGGCTGGGGAGGGTAGGGTTTATAGTCTTGTGGAGGACCTAAGTGGGGACACTAAGGAAATGGTGGGGTCCAATTAGCTGTTAGCAGGGGTCTGTACTTAATTAGCATGAGGGGGCTTCACAAGAGGAAGTTTGTCACTGCATGGGACTTTCCAGTCTGGGCGGGTTCTGTCACTTCGGTTGTCTTATTAGGCTGTCTCATCAGGGCTTGACACCCGCAGGAAGCTGCTAACTGAAATGTTGGTGGCTTGGGTTTGCTTTGGCCTAACAAAGTTATAAGAATGTCTGTTGTTGTTGTTGTTATGTGCCGTCGAGTCGGCCCCGACTCATAGCGACCCCTCCTTGGGTTTCCGAGGCAGTATCACTACGGAAGTAGGATTGCCCAACCTTCCTTCCGAGGCCTGGCTGGTGGGTTTGAACCACCAGCCTTCTGGTTAGCATTCAAGTGCTTTAGCCACTATGCTACCAGAGCTCCTACCAGAATGTCTAGGTTGATGTAAAACATTCTTTGGGGCCTGGGCTGGTAATAAGAATTAACACTCAGGGTCTCTCCTTAGAAACTGCTAGCATAAGTGAAACTTTCTTGGTTCCCTGGGAAACTTAGACAGCAAGTTGACTCCCTAAGATTTTGTCTTGAGACTGTTTGGTGTAGTGCCTAAGGCATTTGACTGCTAACCAGAAAGCTGTGGTTCAAACCTACATAGCCAGCCACTCCTCGGAAGGAAGCTTGGGCAATCTACTTCGGTAGAGACACCACCTGGGAAACCCAAGGAGGGGCCGCTCTGAGTCGGGACCTAATCAACGACAGTATCATGAAAGGAATATTTTTAAAGGGCATTTTACACCAATGTATCTCTGTCAAAACTCTCCTGCCTGGGGTATATTCCCTCTACAACTTGGCTTGACTGCAGAGAAAACATTCCCTTAGTTACTTAGGTTGTTTAACCAGATGAGGAAGGAGCTCTGATAGCACTGTGGTTAAGGCACTGGGCTGCTAACCAAGGGTCAGCAGTTCAAACCCACTAGCTACTCCGTGGGAGAAAGATGGGGCAGTCTGCTTCTGTAAAGATTTATAGCCTTGCAAATTCTATTGGAGTCACTCTGAGCTAGAATCAACTTGACGGCAGTGGGTGGGTTTCTAACCAGATCAAGAGCCCACAGATAGGCATCTGTGAAAAGTCTGATCTAATTTTGCTGAAAAGAAACATAAACATGGGTTTAATTCAGCCATTTCACTTTTGATCAAAGCTTTTGAAAAATCTCTTTTGTAGAATAAATCTGTCTCAGAAGAAGTATAGCCAGAGTGCTCCTTGGAAGTGAGGATGATAAGCCTTCCTCTCTTGTACTTTCAACAGGTTATCAGGAGGGACCAGACCCCACTCTTACTCATACTCTATGCCGAGCAAATAATCCGAGAAGCTGGACTATATGAAGAAGAACGTGGCATCAAGATTGGAGGAAGAATCATTAACAACCTGCGATATGCTGACAACACAGCTTTGCTGAAAGTGAGGATGACTTGAAGCACTTACTGATGAAGATTGAAGACTACAGTCTGCAGTATGGACTACATCTCAATATAAAGAAAACACAAGTCCTCACAACTGGACCTATAAAGCAGCATCATGATAAATGGAGAAAACATTGAAGTTGTCAAAGACTTCACATTGCTTAGTTCTACAATCAATGCCAATTGGAGCAGCAGTCAGGACAACAGATGATGTATAGCACTGGGCAAGTTGGCTGCAAGCGACCTCTTTCAAGTACTGAAGAGCAAAGATATTTCCTTGAAGACTAAGGTGCGCCTGACACAAGCCATGATATTTTCAATTACCTCGTATGCATGTGAGAGCAGACAATGAATAAGGAAGACCGAAGAAGAGTTGATGCTTTTGAGTTGTGGTGCTGGCGAAGAATGCTGAAAGTACCATGGACTGCTAAAAGAACTAACAGGTCTGTCCTGGAGGAAGTACAGCCGGAATGCTCCTTGGAAGCTAGAATGACCAGACTTTGTCTCACCTACTGTGGCCATGTTGTCAGAAGGGACCATTCCCTGGAGAAGGATGTCATGCTTAGTAAGGTGGAGGGTCAACAAAAGAGGGTAAGACCCTCAACGAGATGGATTGACACAGTGGCTGTGACGATGGGCTCAAGTATAGCAAGGATCATGGAGCTGGCACGGGACCTGGTGGTGTTTCGTTCTGCTGTGCATAGAGTCACTGTGAGTCGTATACGACTCAATGGCACTTAACAACAACAGCAGCAACATCAGGAGAGACCAGACCCTGAAGGATGTCATGCTTGGTAAAGTAGGTCAGTGAAAAAGAAAGCTCCTCAGTGAGATGGATCGACACAGAGGCTGCAACAATGGGCTCAGACATGGCAACAATTGTAAGGATGGTGCAACATTTCATTCTGTTGTACATAGGGTTACTGTGAGCTGGAACTGAAGGTATCTAAAAACAACCTTTCACCTCTCAGATAACAAGTCTAATAAACAAAATTGATAACAGGTTTAATGCTTACTGTGCGGATAAAGGAGCTCTGGTGGCATAGTGCCTAAGGCAACTGACTGCTAACCAGAGGGCTGGCGGTTCACACCCACCAGCCACTCCTCAGAAGGAAGACTGGGCAATCTACTTCCATAGAGATACTGCCTTGGAAACCCAAGGAGGAGTCCCTATGAGTTGAACCTGACTCGACCAGTAAGTTGGTTTGGTTTTGGGTGTGGATGAGGCCAGAGGAAGTAGCTCTCAGGCTCTACAAGAGCAATTTAACAACTCTTTCCATATGGAAAGGCCCACCCCTCACCCTGCAACATGCTATCTATACACAACTCCTTGCCAGATGGGATGGGATGTCTGTCCATGTAATTCACTGTGGCCACTTCATCCTTGGAGAGAAGCCCTTGCACTGAACAGTTAGAAAGCTTTACCGTTGGGGGTGTCAGGAGGTCTTCCCTCTGGGGCAGAAGTAGAAGAAAAGTCTCAGGCTGGGAAAAAGGGGAGTTTGAGACCATTTAAGGAGACTTGGGGATGGAGTGGTTAAACCACTCATCCACCAACCAAAAGGACAGCGGTTGGAACTCTCAAGTTGTTTCACCCAGGAAAGATATGGGAATCTGTTTCCGTAAAGGCTTACAGCCTTGGAAACCCTACAGGGCAGTTCTCCTCTGTCCTATGGGGTCATGAGGAATCAGAATCCTCTCAACAGCAGGGGCTTGCGACCATTAGGTGAAAATTAAGGGCGCAGGCACACATTCCTTCTTAAGTCCTGGGCTGTGCGTGGGGACCCCTGGACAGATTCTGGAGTTGGATGACAAGATCACATGTGTGAGCCGGTGGAGAAGCCGCAGTCACCTTTGGCCCAGGGCGAAGAGTCGGGAGGTCAGGTTCTGGAATGAGCGGAGCAGGCACAGACGACATTGTCTCTGCCCTGGAGGCCAACCATGTCCTGTCCCCAGGCTGGTGTGTGGGGTAGGAAAAGGGGCACAGCAGGCAGCCTTCCCAACCGGTTCCAGGAACCCTCGGGGGTCTTCTAGGTACCCTATTCCTGATGTTGAATTAGAACCAGTAACCTTCCTGATAACCAAAAGGGTGGCGGTTCTAATGTACTCTCCCAGGGAGACAGACGTGGCGATCTGCTCCTGTAAAGATTACACCCAAGAAAACTCTACGGGGCAGTCCTAATGTGTCACAGGGGGGCGCTGTAAGTCGAAACAACTCGATGGCACCCAACAACAACCTTGGCTGGGACTCCTGGGGAGAGGGACTCAGTGGGTCCCAGGGCGCCCCTCTGGACAAGGGCGCGACAGACTCAGCCCGAACAACCCCGGTGAGAGGTAGTATTAGTTATTCTTGTTACCCTCCGGTAGAGCCGGATGCAGCTACGAGCAGGAGGGAAATGTCCCAAAGTCCCTCTGGACCGAGACTGCCGACCCACCCGGGAGTGCTCCAGACTAGGCTGGCTCCCAGCAGCTTGTGTGGCCTCGGGCAACCCTACCGGGGCGGTGGTTATTTCCACCGCCTCCGACCTCCCCGGTCGACTGCTCTCCCGCAGACCCAGGTTGCGCCTCTGCAGAATGTGGTGGCCCCAGCCCGGCCCCGTCCTCGCCCCGCGTAGTCTCACCCCTGGCCGGAACGAAGAGCAGCAGAAGCCCACAGAGCACGGTGCTCAGCCACGCACTCGGCCACATGGTTGCCGGCGAGTTCTTCTTTCCGCTGCCCGCGGGCCAAATGATTTCAACGCGAGGCTGCCGGGGACCTGACCCGTGCGCCCTACCGTTCCGGAGTTTGGACTGGGCTGGGAGGAGGCGGGGCGCCCTGGGCCGGGCCCTGGGGAAAGGTGGGGCTGGCAGGAAAGCGACGCTGAGCCGGTCCAGGCCTGCAGGGAGTTAGGGCAGGCAGGCGTGAGCCCCGGTACCAGGAATCCTCTCCCTATGAAGGTGTTGGGAGTGGGGATGGGGTCGAGCGACAAGGGAGAAATTAGTTGTGATTGAAGAACCCAGGACGGCTTCTTTGAGGAGGTGCACAATCAAGATTTCCGTAGACGCCTTAAAAAGCTGGAATTAGAAATACCATTTGACCCAGCGATCCCATTGCTAGGTATATATCCTAAAGAAGTGAGAGCCAGGACAAGAACAGATATATGCACACCCATGTTCATCACAGTACTATTTACAATAGCAAAAAGATGGAAACAACCTAGGTGCCCATCCACAAAGAATGGATAACCAAACTATGGTACATACACACAGTGGAATACTATGCAACACTAAAGATTAAAGTACAATGTGCAAAACACTGCATAACATGGATGAACGTGGAGGACATTTTGCTGAGTGAAATAAGTCAATCATAGGAAGGGCAAATACAGTATTAGTGCATTATTGTAAAAAGTCAAGGAAAGGTTTATATAGGGAAGGAAACTTTGTTGGTTAACAGGGGTGGGAGGGGAGGGAAGGAAATACTGCAAAAAAAAAAAACCGCATTGACCCATGGGCGGGTGAAAAAAAAAAAAAATTTCCACAGATGGAGAAATGGAAATGGAAACAACCTTCCTTCGGGGTGAAGGCAAGGGCAAGAGCAGAGGCAGGGAGTTGTGGCTGCCCTTTATCCAGAAAGCTCCTCCTTGGCGCCTCAAGGACTCATACCTTTGTGGGTGCCCTCTTTACAGGCTCTCATCCCCTAACTTTCCCGTCTGAGGGTCTCCGCGGGTCCGCCTCCCTACTCACTCATGGCCCCACTTTTCAAAAGTTCATGTAACTGTGGTACTTCTTATCTTAAGGAGTCCTCATTTGCTCATTTGACGAACATTTATCAAGCGCCGGTGGTCTGCCCCCTGGGGATCCGGCTGGGCACTACTCGGCTCTCAGTGCAGCGAGGGAGACAGGCGCATCACCGGGAGATTCCGGAATACCGTGAACCGTGCCAGGATAGAGGCAATCCTGACCGCAGAAGTGCCCTCCAGCCTAAGGGGCAGCAAAGACTTCCCAGGGGAGGTGCTGTCTGAAAATATGCCTTGCTTAACCTCAGACCAGCCTTTAGTGCCCCCTGAGAACCACCTTTGGTCTCGGCGTTCTAGGCTACAAAGGGCTGGCACAGCCTAGCGCCGCCAAGGCCCTTCACCGCGCCACTGCTCCAACGATCTACATCTTCTCCAGTCCTCGCAGTCCGCACGCGAGGCCCCAGGCCCTCCCAAACCCTGAAGAGCCGCTTGTCCCTCCCGTGACCCCGTCGTCACACCACGCCCCTTCCCGGCTCGCCGGAAGTACGCCGGACCGAGCGGAAGTGCTTGCGCACTGTGGCTGGTGGCGATTTCGCGATGGTAGGAGGCGGCGGCGGCAGCGGGGTAGGGGGCGGTCTCCTGGAGAACGCTAACCCGCTCATCTACGAGCGCTCTGGGGAGCGGCCTGTGACCGCGGGCGAGGAGGATGAGCAGGTTCCCGACAGCATCGACGCGCGCGAGATCTTCGATATCCACCGCTGATGGACGAGGGTGGGCTCGTGGGGACCTGAGAGGGAGGGCGAGATGTCCAATGGCCGGAGGAGCAGTACCAGGGCAGGGTATTCCTTGCAGAGGGCCCTGAGTGGGCAGAGACACAGAGGTCCTTTTCCTTCACTTGCCACATCTGATTCGTTCTATCAACGACCCAGAGCATCCGCTGACGCTGGAGGAATTGAACGTAGTAGAGCAAGTACGGGTTCAGGTGAGTCCCATACAGACAGAGTCCAAGAGGAGCGACTTGTTTGAGGATCGTCAGAAAGGCTCAGCTGACACTGGGTCAGGGCATCTGTGGGAGGAGTGTTTGTTGTGCCCATTTTATGGACGAGAACATCAAGGCCTATAAAAGATGAGACGACTTGCCAAAACAACCAACTAAGAAGAGTTCTGGCTGGGGGAGCGTTGACCCTTTACATCTCCCCCACCAGGTGAGCGACCCAGAGAGCACAGTGGCAGTGGCCTTCACGCCCACCATTCCGCACTGCAGCATGGCCACCCTTATTGGTCTGTCCATCAAGGTTAAGCTTCTTCGATCCCTTCCCCAACGTTTCAAGGTCAGCGTTTCACCCTCCTCCCCATGGGTGGGGCAAGCATGACAGTCTCCTGGTGAGGAGGGAGAACATGAAGATGGAGAGGTCATCAGTGGGGCCTGGAAACTCACTGCCCTTGAGTTGTTCCTGACTCATAGTGATCTCTTCTTGGGTTTCTGAGGAGGTATCTCCAGGGAAGTAGATTGCCCGGTGTTCATTCCAAGGAGTGGCTGGTGGGTTTGAACCACCAGCTTTCTGGTTAGCAGTCAAATGCCTTAGGTACTACGGCACCAGAGCTTTTGGGGATCCCACCTAGAAGAGATGATGGAATAGAACGAGTAAAAGCCTGAGCTGGAAAGTGCAGAGGGAGCTCTAGTGGTGTAGTGCCTCAGGCATTTGACTGCTAACCAAAAGGCTGGCTGTTCAAGGCCACCAGCCACTCCTCAGAAGGAAAGTTGGGCAATCTACTTACGTAGAGATACCACCTTGGAAACCCAAAGAGGGGTCGCTATGAGTCACAAAATGACTTGATGGCAGTGAGTTTTGTTTTGTTTTTTTTTTGATGGAAAGTGCAGAAAAGTAGTGACTGTGGCAAGACAAGCAGTGGAGAGCTGTACCTGGGGCCCTGGTGAGCAATTAAGTCAATAGTGACTGATTCTTTGGGTTGGAGCCCTGGTGGCACAGTGGTTAAAGCCCTTGGCTGTTAAGCAAAAGGTCAGAGGTTCAAATCCATGAGCTGCTTTGCAGGGAGAAAAATGTGATAGTGTCCATCACAGCCTTGGAAACCCTGTGGGACAGTTTTACTCTGTCCTCTAGGGTCACTGAGTCAGAATCCACCCAACAGCAGTGGGTTTGGTTTTTTAGTTTGATTCTAGGGGTAGAAATGAGGGACTGTGGGTACATTTGGGGTGTAGTGGAAGGACCAGAGTCCAGAGATGTGATTAGGAGGAAGGATGAGCTAGAGGTGATGACAGAGGGTGGGGAAATGGGGAGGAGCAAGGGGATGGGCATAGGTGGTGCTCAGGCCCTTGCTATCTCTCTCTCAGATGGACGTGCACATTACACCAGGGACTCATGCCTCGGAGCATGCAGGTGAGTGTGGGCTGCTAGTCAAGGTGTTGGCCCGGGGTTCTAAGCTCTCTGACGCTTCCCCTTTGCCATCATGCTTTGTGAGGCAAAATCAGGGGAAGCCTGGGTGGGTGAAATCACCAGACTTCAGTGGAGATGGCAGCTCAGACTGAAGCTGGCCTGACTTGAATCTCCTGTGCTACCACGTCCTGCCTCCCTCTCCTGTACATCACAGGACCAGGGTGTGTCAGCCTTCAGCAATACACAAGGCAGGCATGAACCGCCAGGTGGGAAGGGCCCCCAGAAGGCAGGATAGATTGCGCACAGGTGACCAGGGTGGCCTTATTGAGGTTTGGGGTCCTGGGAAGGAAGTGACAGGAAGGCCTTGTTAGTGTCGGCATAACCTATACTAAGGCTTAGAGGTGTGGCTGGCTGGCAGCCTAGCCAGAGTCTGGCTTTGACCTCGTCTTCCTCACTCTCTCCTTCCCACCCAGTGAATAAGCAGCTTGCAGACAAGGAGCGGGTAGCAGCAGCCCTAGAGAACACCCACCTGCTGGAGGTTGTGAACCAGTGTCTTTCAGCCCGTTCCTGATCCTGACTTTTGGCCTGTAGCCCACATACCCAGTTCTACACAAGTCTCATGGCCTTGTTTTCTTGAATCACCGATAATAAGAAACTAACATTTTTCATTTTGTAATAAAGCCTTATTTATATTCATTTCCAAGCATGCCTTAGAGTTGTTCATCTTGATGGGGTCGCTTGGGATGGTGATAGTGAGTGGCTGTAAAAGGTGGGTTGATGAAGTGCAGGTATAGTTTGTTTTTTAGGATTTCTTCCAATGTTTTGATTAGGAAAAGTTACACAAAATAACTGAAAGAGGAGTGTAGGGCATACATGTGTGTAACTACCACCTAGATTCGTTGGTGGTTAGCATGTTGCACCACGTGCTTTATTTGTGTGTATGTGTGTGAGTGTAAATGTGTATGGGAGTAAGCTGCACAGGCATGACCCTTCACTTCTGAGTACTCCATCCTGTGTCAATGAAGAGTAAGCCTGTTACTGGCCCAAAGATCAGCAATTCCCCAACACCATCTAATACCCAGTCTGTATATGAATATCCCCAAAATGTCATTCCTAGTTGTTTTTCCTTCTTTAAATCAGGCTCCAATCAAGGTCATGTGTTTCATTTGCTTGTTATGTCTCTAACTTCTGGAACAGACTGCCCCCACTCCACCGTTTTTTGTCTTTCTTGGCACTGATTTTTTTTTTTTTTTTTTAAAGTTCTGGCCAGTTATCCTGGAGAAGTCCTATAACTTGATTTGTTTCTTTGTCCCCTGTAAACTGGAAGTTGCTCTAAAGGCCTGATTGAGTTCAGGTTTGAATGTTGTTTCTTTTTTTCTTAATGGGAAACCTGTCCAAGGTTGTATGTATCCTTTAGCATCTACCAGTAGGTGTGTGTTGCTACCTGTTGGTGATGCTCAGTCTAGTCCCCAGATCAAGGCAGTGACATCAGATTTCTCCATTGGATGACATATGAGGCACCCTCTCCATCAGTCTCCCCAGAGATGTGTGTCACCCCAGGTCAGCACCATGAGGTGATGTACTCACTTGGGCCTGCCTCCCCCTGGCACAGTTGGTCACTAGAAGAAACCATGGGACTCAGACCTTGGCTCAGCCCAACCTGATGGCCCTGAGTCCCTGCCTCCTTTTCTTTCTCTGGGGATAGGTGGGGGATATTCAGAAGCCTTGCCCTCTGTTATGAAATAAAACAAAAAAATAAGTGTGAAGATGTGGAGAAATTGGAACCCTTGTGCATTGCTGGTGGCAATGTAAAATGATACAGTTGCTGTGGAAGGGTTTGGTTGTCCCTCAGAGGTGATCAGAAATTACCACATGACACAGCAATTCCGTTCCTAGGTATAAAAAGACTTGAAAGTAAGGACTTAAACAGATACGTGTTGTTCTGGTTACCTAGTGCCACTCTGACAGGAAACGTACCACAAATGGAATGACCTTAACAAACAGTTTATTCTCTTACAGTATGGAGGCTTTAAGTCCAAGTTCAAAATGCCAGGCTCTAGGGCCTGGGTGAAAGCCCCTCAGTCTTGGGCTTCAGCTCTACCTCCAGCTCCAGGCCCACTGAAGCTAGAGGCTTTTCTTCACTCAGACAGCTGCTGGCTGTTGAGGCTGAGAAGCCCCAAGGTTGACAAGTAAAAAGGCACAGTCCCAATGTTACCAAACCACATGGCAGGCCATTAACTTAAGTCCATTGTAAGTCCCAAGGTTGGCAGAGCATAGCAGGCTGCTGAGCAACAACACAGCTACATGCAGACTCCAAGCGTGCCATAGGCTAGAGACCATTCCCAAAGCTGCTGCTTATATATGGGAAGCAGACCACACACCCAAAGGCAGCTACTCAGCTGTTCACAGTAGATTCCATCATGGAGTTAATTACCAGTCTCATCATGGGGAATACTATATCCAGCTGCCCAGCCACTCAACCAGACCTAGCCAAGTTGACACAAAAACAACCACCACACATGTACATCAGTGTTCCTTGCTTTGTTCACAATAGCCAAAAGGTAGAAACAACTGAAGTGTATGTCAACAAATGAATGGAAAAACAATATGTCTATACAATGAGAATAATATTTAGCCATAAAGAGGAATGAAGTTCTAATAACATGCTACAATGTGGATTAACCTTGAAATCATTATGCTGAGTTCAATAAGTCAGACACAAAAGAATAAATACTGTATAATCCCACTCATATGAAATCTCTCAAATAGGCAAATATTTAGAGATAAAGTTGATTAGTGGTTACCAGGGGCTGAGGGGATTGGGGAATGGTGACTTACTCTGTTTGGAATGATGAAAAACTTGGAAATGGTTAGTGGTGATGGTTGCACAGTGGTTAATGTGCTTGACTACTAACTGAAAGTGAGGTTCAGGTTACCCAGAGGCTCCTTGGAAGAAAGCCCTGGCAATTTGCTTCTGAGAACAGCCATTGAAAACCCAGTGGAGTACAGTTCTATTTTGACACACATGGGGTTGCCATGAATCCGAATCGACTTGATCGCAACTGGCAACTCGTAAGTAAGATGGTTGTACAATAAGTGAATGTAATTAGACATTGAATTTTACAGAAAAAATGGTTGAAATGGCAGTGTGTGTGTGTGTGTGTGTGTGATTTGATTGAAAGTTTACAGAGCAAATTGGTTTTTCATTCAATGGTTCATACACATTTTGTAACAGTTGCAATACCACAACAATACCACAATGTAACAGCACTCTCCCTACTTCCTCCTTATGCTTATTTCCCTTCATCCTTCTTTCCCATTCCTTTCTGTGGTGTGAGCTTTATCTCTGGGCAGATGCTGCCCTTTGGTCTCCTATGGTTGATTGCTGTAAGGAGTTATTATTCACTGGTATTATTCACCTTACAGGCCTAAGTTTACAGGGCAAATTGGGTTTCCATTCAATGGTTCATACACTTTTGTGTGTGTGTGTGTGATTTGGGTGAAAATTTATAGAGCAAATTCACTTTCCATACAGCATTTCACATACACTTTGTCTCATGACATTGACTACAATGTACCCCAATGTAACAGCTCCCCTCCCACTTCCTCCCGTTAGTTACCTCTTCCCTGTGTCCATCCCTCCATGCACTCCTGCCCCCTGAGCTGTCTTCCTGTGCATAAACAGCCCTTCTTTCTCCCATGATTGTTCTCTCCAAGAAGTGTATCTACCTCAGGTAAATGTTCAACTCATATGCCTGTCTTTTAT